CCGAGGGTCCTGAGACCACACTGTCCTGTGAGGGTTCCACCCCCTGCTTAGCCACTGGAGCGATGTCCCGCAGCGAAGCTGACTTCTAAAAGTTCTGATTTTGTGCTCCGCGGCTCTATCACTTGGCAGAAGCGGCCAACGGAGGCCCCCTCCCCCGCCGTTTATCCTCCCGAATATTGCCTCGAATTCACTTCTCCGCACGTCCTACCTTCCAGAAAGTGGTAGCTTTTCTGTTCAGAGAGTTATTGCTTTTCTTTTCTTCCATCTCCTGTTGAGTTTGTAGGTGTTCAGAATGGTTTGATCCCTATCCAGCTGAATTCCTGAGACCAGATGAAATCCAGGTCTCCTACTCCTCCGCCATCTTGCTCCCGGAAGCTCCCCTCTTGTTTTGATACATAAGGCTGTCCCTTTTTTAAATTGCCAGCTTAGTTATGAATTTCATTTTAAAAATTAATCTAAATTAAAAATACTTGTAGTAGGAGGACTTCATGTAAGTTTAGACATTCTAGCTTGCTAGATCTAGAACTCTAGATATGTGCTTCTTCAACTTTACTAGATATTGTCATATAGCTCTTTAAAGTGGTTGCATCAGTTTATATTGCCAACACTGTCTGAGATTTCCTTTTGTTTGACAATTTCACCAGTACTAAGACTTGTCCAGTTGTTTAATTTTTGCCAATCTCGTGCCTGTGGAATTGTAGTTTTAAATTGAATTTCTCTGCTTATTGGTGGCATTGAACATCTTCCCCTAGGTTTGTTGTCCATTTGAGTTTTATCTTCTGAAAAATTTTGACCATTTTTCTAGTGTTTGGCTTTTTATAACTCATAGGCATCTTAATATATTCTGGATAATAATAGTTTGTCAGCTATATGTATTCAAACGTATTTTTCCATTTTATACCCTTTTATTCAAATTGTAAGGCACTTTAAAAATATTTATTTATTTTAGAGAGAGAGAGAGAGGGGAGGGGCAGAGGAAGAGAGAATCTTAAGCAGACTCTGTGCTGGGCCCAGCATTGGGCTCAATCTCATGATCCTGAGATCATGACCTGAACTGAAACCAAGAGTCAGACATTTAACCAACTGTGCCACCCAGGTGCCCCTAAGGTACCCTTTAAGGCACAGAAATTTTTAATGTTGATATACAGAATTTACCAGTCTTTTTTTCTCTTTGTAGTTTGTTATTTGGTATCTTGCTTAAGAGATCTTTTGTTATCCCAAAGTTATAAAGATATTGTTCTAAAAGCATTAAAGTTTGCTTTTCCCATTTATATCTCAATCTGTAACTGATTTTGGTACATGGTATAAGAGAGAGCTCTAACTTGATTTTTTTTTTCACATTACAGTGCCAACAGCATTTATTGCCATACATTAACTTTCTCTGATATGTATTGGCCTGTTTCTGGGCTTCCTTTGTTGTTCCTTTGTTATATTTGTCTATCCTGGCAGTATTACTGCCATGGTATAGTTCTCATTGCTGCATTGTAAGTCTTGATGTGTGAAGGTAAGTCCCTCTTCCTCATTCTTCTTCAGGAAATGTCTTGCTCTTCTTAGCTCTTGGTCTTATTTTAAGATAAGACTGTCATGTCCTTTGAAGAATCCTATAGGGATTTTTTTGGAATTTCAATGAATTTATATATTAGTTTGGGAAGGAAATGATATTTTCATTATTTTTCATCTTCCCATCCATAAACATGGTATATCTCTGCTTTTATTTCCATCTTCTTTTGTATTTTTTAGTAGAATTTTATAGTTTTTCTATGTAAAGCATGCTTTCTTCTTCTTAACTTTATTCCTAAATTTTTTTTTTTTTTGGTATCTAGATAATCTTTTCCACAATTATATTTTCTCATTGGTTGATGCAATTGATATTTGCATATTGATTTTTCTGTGTTATAGCTTTGAAGTTTGAACAGTTCCAATGCAGATGTTATTTGTATTTGCTGTAAACATTTTAGTGTTGTCTATTATCAATAAACAAGTTTATTTCTTATCAATCTTCCTTTCCCTTTCTCCTCCTTTTTCTTATTGCATTGGCTAGGGACTCCAGAATAAAATTAAATAGAAGCAGTAATAGAAGGCTTCCTTTTCTGGGGTGACTGGGTGGCTCAGCTGGTTGGGCGTCCAACTCTTGGTTTTGGCTCAGATTCTGATCTCACGGGTGGTGAGACTGAGCCCCACGTCACGCTCCTTATTCAGTGGGAGTCTGCTTGGATATTCTCTCCTTCTGCCCCTTCCCCTGCTTGTGCTTTCTCTCTCTCTCTCTAAAATAAATAAATAAATCTTTTAAAAAAAAAGGCTTCCTTTTCTTATTCTTGACCTCAAAGGAAATGCTTCTTTTTTTAAATTTAAATTTAAATTTAAATTTAAATTAAATTTATTTATTTTTAAAGTAGGCTCCATGCCCAGCATGGGGCCCAGTGCAGGGGTTGAACTCAACCCTGAGATCAAGAGTCAGACACTTAACCAACAGAGCCACCCAGGCACCCCCAAAGGAGATGCTTCTAATGCTTCACTATTAATTGTGAGGTTTGCTCTGTGTTGTAGGTAGATATACAAAACACCAATATTGAAGTTCTGGTTGAAGAAGGAGAAATAAATATACAAAAAATTCATCCTTGGGGTGCCTGGGTGGCTCAGTCAGTTGAGCATCTGCCTTTGGCTCAGGTCATGATCCTGGGGTCTTGGGATTGAACCCCACATTGGACTCCCAGCTCAGTGGGGAGCCTACTTCTCCCTCTCCCTCTGCCTGCTCCCCCTGCTTGTGCTTTCTCTCTGTCAAATAAATAAATAAAACCTTTAAAAAAATTCATTCTAAGCCATAAATTATAGATACTAACTTTTATTATTTAGATTATGGAGAATTCAATATAAAACTTACAGGAAGATTAAATATTTGGAAACAGCCCCAATATCTAAGGAAAAAAAACCTCCCAAAGAACCCTAACTATAAAATATCAAACAGGTATTAATTCAAGCTGATTAATTCCTGAGATCTACAAGAAATTCTAGTGAAGATCACAAAAAGGAATCATGGAGAAAATACTGAGAATTGTGTAGGATTTATTTCAGAGCATTTTATAACTGTTTTGGAGGTGTTTTATGATCTAGGATTTCTTAGGGCAGGAGAAGTTGAAAATAACTGGGGACAGCTTAGAAACTTGCCCTTCTGAGAGGGAGGTAGTATGGCTTTTGAATCTCTCTGTATTTTTGTTGGTACTTTTGTTTTTTTCTTGCATTTTTACAGAGGCCTTGGTCGTTTGTAAAGTAGTTAAGTGATCATCACCTAGCCTTTTTCCTACTTGGCTCATTTTCTGCCGCTTATTTTAGGTACCAACTGTTCTATCTTTTGGTATTTTCTGACTTCTCAAAGTCATCTTCCTGGTTTCTTATTTAGGCCTTTCTTTCACCCCTTTAACTGAGCACTTCCCAAACTGCTGAAATTCTGAGAAAGAGGGGTTCCGTGGTCAAATGAGTCTGGAAAATACAGTGTTAGGCCAAACCTAATAGCTTACTTTACTGCAGGCCTTCTAGAACCTTCAGTATTCTAATGTGCATTGTGAATCTCCAAAAGGAAAATATAGCTTGTAGTGTTTCCCCAATTAATTGATCATTGAACTTCTTCCAAAGAACACCTAATAACAACTCATATAACCCAGTTATTACTCTTCAAATAAAAACTTCCAGTTCTTGTAAACGTTTCCTTAGTGGAAGACATGTTATATGTTCTCTCACTACGAGGTTGTGAATTCTTTGAGGACAATTTCTTTTTCTTGAAGTATTTTCTGATCTCATTATACATTGAAACTCTGGCATTCTTCCTCTCTTCTAGTTCCTGGGATGGGCACAATGGATACCACTCAAGAGTTCATGTATGGCACAATCTTGCTAAATAATCCCATTTAGCTTTCAGGATCTTTGTACTACACCTCAGTTCAACTACTTTTGATGCTTTATTGAAGCCTCTGAGCTAGGCATTGCTGGTGCTAAAAAGATGAGTAAGATCTAGTTACACCTCACTGGAGAACATGTAGAGGAAGTAAGCATATGACACAAAACACAAGTTAAATGCTAAACAAGAGGTACAAACTACCTTGGGGTTCAATGGAGAAACAATAACAGTTGGGTGGCTAGGGAAGGGAGACACATGGGAAGAATCAGAAAAGATTTCCTGGAGGATGTATCATGTGGGATGGGCCTTAAATTTTTTAAAAATACAGAAAGGGTATAGAAGAGTGGCATTACAGGTGGGGATGTATAGCATATGCAAACAGGAAGGTAGGGAAGAGGGGCAAGTTCAAGTGGCTGTGTCTGGCAGGATGTGCACAGGGTAAGTTGTAGATAGGATATGATCAGAGCATGGATAATAAAAATAGAATACTTTGGGTGCCAATGTGAGTTATGTTAATGCTGCTGTCCTCAGGGAGCCATTGAAGAATTTTTGAGTGGGAGGGTGATGTGAGGACCACTTGCTCCTCTCCCATCCTTTGTGGTGTCTCCAAGCTCTAGTGTCTTTGCCTCTGTCCAGCTCAGCGACTTACAGAAACTTCAGCCAATGAATTAAACTTCCAGCCTCCTGACTTGCATATTGGGTACCTCCTCCCGCAGAGCTGTCCAGAGTGCAACAGAAACCATGGCGGCACACTCTAGTAAATGCATACCCGCTCTATGTAGAATACTGTCAGAAGCCAGCATGTTGAGGAGAGAGTGTTCAGATGAAGAATAGAGATAAGAGGCCATCAGTAGATTTAATGATAATACTTTGTGGAGTTATGATTTCAGTGTCTTAAAGAGGAAACTGATAAGAAAAAAAGATGGGTGCAGATAGTAAATTTTAAGTAGCGAGCCACGAGAATGGATGTAGCTAGTGAGCCTGGAGAACTGGCTGTATCTAGTCACTCGTTCCAGGCAGCTCAGGACTAAAATTGGCACGGGGGTGGGGTGGCGGGCAGGGAAGAGTGAAACCCAAACAACTGGAGGGTTGGTTTGAGGTCACCCACCTGGTGTAATGTTCAAAGGCCTATCCCTTCTGCTGTAATGTTGAAAGGCCCGGACCCTCCTGGCTGTTGAGATGGGTCTGGAGAAACGGTGTGTGTTTAATGGCCTCAATATCTTCTGTGACGTGGACTTTGAGGTCATCAGGGCAGTCGGGTGGGGGGAGGGCAGTACCCTTCATGGGAGAGCTTGGAGGTCTGAGAAAGCTGGCGCCTGCTGGGGAATCAATATAGGAAGCAGAGCAAAGCTTTGGTGTTTTGCAGTGGTCGGGGCAGGGCTCTCTAGAACCTGTGGGCATGCCGCAGGGTTTCACCGGCTCCGAGGACGCCTGAGGATGGGCCCTCCGTAGTCCCCGCGGCCGCGGGCTTTAGTGCGCCCCGCTTCCTCGCACCTCAGGGCCTGCCCCGCACCGGCTAGCAGGGTGGAGCCGCGGCGCTCGGCCCGGCGGCTGCGGGATCTCGTCTCGCTCTTCCGCTTGCAGGTGCGCCCGGGGAAGGCGGGACGCGCAGGAGGGGGGCGCCCGCCATGCCCGGCCCGCAGCTCCGCGTCGCGGCCTCCAGCCCGCCGCCCCCGCGAAACGGCCATCCGCAGCCCCTGTGAGGAGGAAGAAGAGGCGGTGGCGCAGAAGGCGCCACCCCCTTGGCGAGCTTCGCGACCCGGCGGCCTCCGCAGGACCCATGGCGGATTCCTCGCCCGCGCTCTCCCTGCGGGAAGGCGGCCCCCGAGCGCCCCGGCCCTCGGCCCCCTCGCCGCCGCCGCGCTCGCGCTCGGGCTCCGAGTCGGAGGAGGCCGAGCTGTCGCTGAGCCTGGCCCGCACCAAGACCCGCTCGTACGGCAGCACCGCCAGCGTGCGGGCGCCGCTGGGCGCCGGCGTCATCGAGCGCCATGTGGAGCACCGGGTCCGCGCCGGCGATACGCTGCAGGGCATCGCGCTCAAGTACGGAGTCACGGTGAGCAGGGCGCGCCGCGGCGGCGGGGGCCGGCGGCACGGGCGGGGGCTCGGGGCGGGGGCTCGGGGCGGGGGCCGGAGCGCCGGGGGTCGCGCCGGCGGCCATCTGGCCCCCTGCGCTCGCCTGGCGCGCGCTGAGGGCCGCGACAGTGGTCGCCGAAGGTGGTTCTGTAGCCAGAGGGGCAGGCCGCCGAGGCTCCCTCCCCAGGTAGGTGCATGGAGTTCCCGGTGTCCTGCCCAGATCCGTGAGGAAGGCCAAAGAGTACCAGGGAGCCACGTTCACCCGATGTTCAGTCCAGATTACACCACCGTAGTGCATATTTACTCAAAGTCCAGCTGAGGTGTGGACTCAGGCAGAGAATTTTGTTTTCTCTGTAAACAAGCGCTGTGATGAGTCAGCGATGGTACATTTGTTTCCGCAGGATGGTTCTGGTTTTTATCGATTATGCTGCTTTATTTAGAAGTAAAATTACACCCCTGGGCTCACTGGCAACTGTGAATGTGACACCTGTCGCTAAGCTGCAGCCCAGAACTGGGGTCTAGGTGAGCTGGAGAGCTGTGTTTATTATAAATTTATAAGTGTGTTTGTCCTAAATATATTGCATTACACCTCTGGGAAGAACATGGAAACTTGAGGGAGCATATTCTCTCATTAAAATTACTTATAATTAACTCTGAGCCATGTGATGGCCTTTTTGCATTTGAGTTCTGGATCAGTTTTCAATGTTCTTTCCTGAAACACCTTAGACACGAATGGGAAGAAAGGGATCTTATCTGTATCTTTCTCTTGAAGTGAAACTTTCTGGCCCTTAACAGAATGATAGAGACTAATTTATTTTGCACCTTCTAGCTGATACTGTATGTTTACCTAGCAGGTCGTTTAAACATTTTGAGACCAGGGATCTTGCTGTGCAGACCTATACCGATAGTATCATGCCATGGATAGTCCCTTTCCCTCTGCCTGGGAGTTTCTAAATGTGAACATAGGACTGCAGTTCTTATGCACATCAGTAAGGCCTGGTTTTGGGTGAGGGCCAGAGGAAAACAGAATTGGGGAATATCGTAGCTACCTTCTGCTGAATGCCTGCTGCCTGCCAGGTGTTACATTTGTCCTGTTCCATCTTGTTTTTATTCAATTTGATTTTCCTAATGAGCCTTGGAGGTAGGTGTAATTACCTTTTTACCTTTTTTACAGATGGGAGGATGGATGAGAGGTAAGGATATTATCTAAGTATGTTTATTCATTGAGAGCAGCTTGAATTAGCACAGTGATAAAGCATTTGCTTTTATCTAGATATTACTTCTGATTTCCATCCTTATTTCTATCCTAGTCTTATCAAGAGCTCTCTTAGCATCTTGGTTACTGAAGAAGGAAGGTCTCTTCTGTATGGTTTCTATATGTCCTACCTCCTGGGCCAGGGTGACTGCACCAGGAATCCATGGTATCTGGAGAAGTGTTATTTCCCTGGTCCCTACCCACAGAAGTCTCTAGAGCCCAGGGCCCTCCATGGCTGCACTTGAGTGGCTAAACATACTAAACATTGTAGTATGTTTAATAGCATCTCTGACCTCTGCCTGTTAGATGCCAGTAAGGCCCCCAACCCCCACCCCCCATCCAGACATTGCCAAATGTTCCCTAGGAAGAAACTCACTCTTCATTAAGAACCACTGGTTTATTACATGTGTATCATTTACTTTAGGCCCTGAACTATAGTTGATGACATTTTTAGATTCCATAGAACCAGTGAAAGTGATAATTTTTACTGTAACAGTGAAGTGATATTATTGCTTTAATAGGCAAATATTAATTGGATTTACTCATTGTAAATTGAGATTTTAGGTGGATGCTAAAAAGGCAGAAAAGTTTTTTTCTTTCCCTGACTGAACAGAAAGAAGTTGAATTAGTTAAGTTTCTAATATTGACTACCAAGATCATAAGCATATTTAAATTATTGTGATGATATGTTGGAGATTTAGAGACCCAAGGCAGTGCACCTGGAAATTAAGACTCAGTCCAGGCAAACATTTGAATTTAACATCCCACGTCTGGCAAGAGCCGAGCATGGCTCTGCTGTCTTACTTAGAGGAGCTGGAACTCTCAGAGAAGCCTGTCTGCTGATGACAGCTCTCCAGGCCCCCAGCTGGGAGTCCAGGCAGGACTCCAGTCCCTCAGCATGGAGAGACTGGTAAGAGCCAGTAGTATTTTAGGTAGAGGGATGTTCCCAGAACAAAGACTCTGACAAGGTGTGAAGGTAAATGTCTGGTTTTCCACACTGGGTTTCCAGGGGAACAAATTGGAAACTGGTTATCTGAAGTGGTGCTCAATGGCTAGCAGCAGGGTACATCCCAAGATGTGGGGGGAGAGAGGTGTTCCTCCAACTTGCCTGGCTAGAAGAATGCCCTGGGGCAAACTAAAAATAAAGAATCCTAACTGACCTTGAGCCTACTGAATCAGAATATCCAGAAAAGGAGCCCAGGAATCTTCATGTTTTACAAGCATGGCCTGTTTCTTGTTCCCAAAGCACTGTCCTTCCTGGAGTCTTAGCACTTGCTGTTCCATCTATATGGAACAGTCTTTCCCTGATAGCTGCATGGAAGGTTCACGTCATGGGTGTCTGACCTGTGCAGTCACACAGGGCCCCATGCTTAGAAGAGCCCTGCACTGCACTTGGTGTCATGCTCTACTATTGCCAACTTGAAAAAAGAATTGTTAAAGATTCTATTTATTCGTTTGAGAGAGGGAGAGAGAGAGAGAAAAAAAAACAACACGAACAGAGGGGAGAGGCAGAGAGAAAGGAGAAGCAGACTCCCTGCTGAGCCGGGAGCCTGATGCAGGTCTCGATCCCGAGGACCTGGAGATCATGACCTGAGCCGAAGGCAGATGCTTAACCACCTGAGCCACCCAGGGACCCCACCATCTTGAAATTTTTAATACTTTGTGAACAGGGCCCCACGTTTGCACTTTTCCCTGGGCCCTGCAAATTATGTAGCTGATCTTGGCTATGTGACTTGCTCCCTCACTGACTTTAAGTTCTTGCTTACATGTCTCCTCCATGAGGCCTTCCTGACTGCTCTGTCAAATTACAGCCCTCTTCCTTTCCCCCCGCCCCTTCCGTGCCTTGTTTCCCAGCAGTGTTTATTGTTCATCCCATTTTCCTTTTTTTTTTTCCAGCGTCTATCTTTTTGGTGTTACGTTAGTGAATAAATAGAAATCTGTGCCCTCATGGAGCTTATAATTTAGTCAGTGGAGACAGAAAGTAAACAAATGAGATATGTTATATGTCAGAGATTGACAAGCAAAATGAAAAGATGAAGCAGGGAAAGGAGAGAAGGAGGGCTAGTGGAGGTGGCTGTAATTTAAAATGATGTGACCACAAAGACCTCACAGAGAAGGAGGCAAGGGGGTGGGTGGGGGGTGTGCAGATATCTGTGAAGAACATTCCAGGCAGCAGGAACAGCAAGGGATGCAAAGGCCTTGAGGTGGGAACATAATTGGCAAGTTCCAGGAATAGTGTACCTGGCGCTTAGAATGCAGTAGGGTGTATTTGGACCAGATCATTTTGGGCCTTGAAAGCCATTGTAAGAACTTTGGCTCTTTCTCTGAGTGAGCTGGAGCACGTTGGAGGAATTTGAACAGAAGAATGGCGTGATCTGATTTGGGCATTAAGAGGATCCCTCTGGCTGCTGCTTTGAGCACACGCTGTAGATGGGCGAGTGCCAAGGCAGGGAGACCAGAAGGATAAAGGCTTTGTAATAATGCGGGTAGGAAGATGGCAGCTTGGAACAAAGCAGCGGAGAAGGAAGTGGTGGTAAGTGGTTGGATTCTAGATGATTGATGCGCTATATATTTTCTGCTTATTTGTTTACTATTTCATTTGAGTATCTCTGCCCGAGAGATGGGCCCAGAGATCCAGGAGGCTTCTCTATAGGAAAGAAGAATGCGGATGTTGGAGAACCTGGCCAGGTCTGACGCCTGATGGAAGCCAGTTCTTCTGCCAGTGCCTTAGAAAATATCTGAAGAACCCTTCCCACATCCCTTTTAAAGTCATTGTTAGTTATTAATAACTGGCATTTATTTTTTTTTACCTGTTTTTATTGAGCCTGGTTTGTTTGAGTCCTTGTGCTACATGCTACAGGATAATACGTGCTTTCCTCTTATTATTTATGGTGAGTTTGTCTACTATTGCTTTCCACTAGCCTGTAGCTACTCGAGAAGCCAGGTCGCTTGTCTGACTCATCTCTGTACATTCTGTGCCTAGCCTGGGTCTTGCACATGGCAGGCCCTCCACATATGTATGGACCTAATCCACAGGCCTGCCTGGAGTGAAATCACTGGGCCCTGGAGTTGAGCAGACCCTGAAAGACGGAGCCCAGGGTAGGGGTTGAGTGACTGGAATTGCAAAGTGTAATTTAAGGCTGGCTCTCCAGCCTAAGGAAAGATTGGTGCTGGTTTGCTCCCCTTCTACCAGCAGGGAGTCTTGACATTGAATTAAACATAGGTTTACATTTGAGCATCTCTACCGAAGAAGCATTTGAGGAAGTGGTCTGGGAAACTGAAACTATTTGGGCTGAGTTGAGAAACTATTAAATACCGTGTTGATTTCAGACACTTATTTGCTTGGGCTGGAATTTCCCTGGCTGTGCCTATCTCTACTGAGACGTTTAGGTCCTTTCCCTAACCCAGTGTTCTAGATTTAGCTATGGCCTTTGTGGTGATCCTAGCTCCTCTCAGTTGGATGCAAGCTTCAGGAGGAAACTCACCGGCTCCAGGCAGCCACTGTGAACTTTTTGGAAACCCTGGAAAAACATCCAGAAAACAGTATACAAACTAAAAGTGAGCAGGAGGCAGTGAGGAGACCTATTATTTGCATAAACTTTCTCATTGTCTCTTTGCTTCCTCCTGGTAGCTTGCCTGCCCTCTCTCCTCTCCAGAGGCCACGTTGCTTCCAGTGCCCTCAATCACTTCCTGTCCGGTTTTATTCCCAGAGTCTTCTCACTTTCTTCCAGCGAGCTGCTAAACCTAGTTGCTTCTTAACATCTCCCCGAACAGAAGTCACCTTGCTGAGAAAAGGTGAAATGATTGTCATTTTAGGGACAACAAGTGTTGTGAATTAGAAATGTAAGTATGTGTAAATCTTTTGTGTTCATAACTTTAGGCCCTGCTGCTGGTAGAAATTGTTGATCCTTGCTGATCAAAGGCAAGAGAACTATAAATAAATAATGCAACATGTAGTGAGAAGTATGGTAAAGTAGCCTTTAGTAGCTTGGGGTTTAATAGATTCTCATAAATTCTTTTTTTATTTATTTTTATTTTATTTATTTTTGGGGGGAGGCACAGAGGAAGAATCCTCATGTATTCTTTTTTTAAAAAAGTTTCATTGAGGGACGCCTGGGTGGCTCAGTCAGTTAATCATCTGCCTTCGACTCAGGTCATGGAGAAAAGGATCATAATATCTTCTAAGAGTTCTAATTTACTGTTCTCTGCTTTATGTGTTCCGAACACAACCCAGGTCAGCGTTGGGACCGTACCAGAAAACTGCAATTTTCAAAGCCTGTAACAAATTAAATCCTTGAGCTATCCAAAACTTGAAACAGCTGTAGTTATTCTATGTATGATTTCAGCTCAAGTCATAATCTTGGGGTCCTGGGATTGAGCCCTGAGTCAGGCTCTGAGCTCAGCGGGGAGTCTGCTTGGAATTCTCTCTCCCTCTGCCCCTTCCCACTCTCATGCGTACATCTCCTTTTCTCCCCCCCCCCGCTCTCTAAAATAAATAAATAAAATCTTTAAAAATAAATAAATAAAATAAAATCCAGTTTTTTACCTTGGCATCCAAGGCCCAATGTGGCCTAGAGTTTTGCTCATTACTCCCTATACTTCAGCCACACTGTTTTTTTCCTGTGCTGGGGCCTTGCAACTGCTCTTTCTCACTGGAATGCTGCTTTTTTTTTCCCCCTGGCTTTTTGATTGGCTAGTTTATTCCTTAACTTTATTATGAGTCCAGAGTTTGCAACCTGTTCAGTTGGTTCAAGCCAGCACTTGTAGAGGAAAAAACAAGTTAAGATCAAATTTATCACCTTGGGGGGAAAAAGAAAACAAAGAGCTTGCATACCTCAGGGCAGTGACAACATATAATGTTAATTATCTGGGCTTGGTTTCATGAAATTTTTTTTATATATTCTTACTTTGTAGGAGAAATATTTTTTATTGTGAGAAATTCCTGCTTCCTTCTCATTTGCTAAATAAATACATGTTAGAATCTGCCTTTACTTGTTATTTTCTCACTTTTAACCAGTAATAATAAGATAGCAACTATTATCATTATCTTTTTTGAGGGCTTCCTGGGGGCTATGCATTATCCTAAATACTTTACAAAGCCAGGGTTTGAACCCAGAAAGTGTGGCCCCAGAGCCCCTGTTTCTAACTACTATCTTGTATTAGGCTCATTTCATCTTCAGACTCAAATCTGCCAGTCCTTAGATTGGTCCCCACCTTGATGCTAACTATGTCTGGATATCCCCGATGTCCTTGATGCTGTATCCCATCTAGACTATAGGGTGAATGTACACCTTAAATGCTTGCTGATGATACTGAGATGGAGATAGCATAGTCTCTGACTTCAGGAAGCTCATAGGCTAGTGAAAGAGGCAATTCTATAGGTGAATCAATGGGATGATATACAAGAACTAAGGGAACCCTGCCCTTCATTCCCTGTGCTCCTTGACTATACCCAGCTGTTGACTCAGGTACCTTGTCTTGTGGTCCCTGTCATTGGCCCTTCGCCTAGCTGTGATGGGCTGTCTTGTTTTTTTTTTTTTTAAAGATTTTATTTATTTATTCGAGAGAGAGAATGAGAGATAGAGAGCACGAGAGGGAAGAGGGTCAGAGGGAGAAGCAGACTCCCCGCCAAGCAGGGAGCCCGATGTGGGACTCGATCCCGGGACCCCAGGATCATGACCTGAGCCGAAGGCAGTCGCTTAACCAACTGAGCCACCCAGGCGCCCCGGGCTCTCTTGTTTTGAATGATAGATGTATGGGTCAAGGTTCTGACAGGAAACAGATAGTGGGCGTGGGGGGTGTGTGGCCAAAGAGAATTTAGTGAAGGAACATTTACAGAAGTATGAGCAGGGCTGAGGGAACCACCAAGGGATGGTGAAGCACCTGAGACTAGCAACAGCAGGGAGACATTACCCTAAGGCTTGAAGGGCAAGGGGAAGAAGTGGTGTACCCCACACGAGGAAGGCTGGAGCCATGGATGAGGGAGCGGTTACCTGGCAGGAACTCTGCCATAGAGGAGTGCAGCCACTGGAGACATGGTGCTGTATCTTTCTGCTCATGACTTCCTTTGGAACACCCACTGGCATTCCAAGGACAAGGGGGCTTAGGTAATGCAGTTCTTAAGAGGTCAGTCTCCTGGGGTTCAGAATAGGCTCAAGAAGAGTTGGGGTTGGATTGGGTGGTGGGGGTGTATTGAAAGAGAGAGTCACTAGCACAGCAGATGATTTATTGTCCCTTTCTGGTTACTTCCCTGGGTTAATCTTTTTTTTTTTTTTTAAAGATATTTATTTATTAGAGAGAGAGAATAAGTGAGAGAGAGAGAGAGCGAGCACAAGCCAGGGGGAGAGGCAGAGGGAGATCAGACTCCCCGCCGAGCAGGGAGCCCTACGTGGTGCTCAGTCCCAGGACCCTGGGATCATGAACTGAGCCAAAGGCAGATGCCTAACTAACTAAGCTACTCAGGCGCCCCTGGGTTCATCTTTTATGACTATTCCTCTGACCTGTTTTAATTAATTAATTAATCCATCCATCTATCCTAAGCACTTAATGTGTACAGGTCTTTGTTAGCCCCAGGGAAGATATAGAAATAAAAGTGCTTGTCCTGAAGGAATTCAGTTGATGCTTGATATTCTCAGCCCTGCCTCGGCACTCAGATCTGGTGTTCCTTTCAGTTTCTGTCCTCCATCATTATTCTCAGAAAATAATAGGCCCCTGCCAATAAGCGTTTTGAAGAGCACTGTATCAATGAAGGTTCTTTGATTTACAAGTGATAGAAGACCTAACTCAGATTGGCTTAAGCAAAAAACAAAAACAAACAAAAAATGGAGTTTATTGGGTCATGGAACTGAAAGGCCCTAGGGTATTCTAGCTTTAGGCTTTGATTCAGAGAACTGATTGCTCTCCTCCCAGATGGCCTCAGGTTCCATGAGGTGGGGGGATAGCTGCTCTTTCCAGCAGAAAAAATACAGAATCTTTCCCCTCCCAGACCCAGCAAAAGTCTCCCTGCATCTTTGAATTGTTCCAAGATGGGACTGTGACCTATCATGAAAGCCAGGACACTGTGACACTCCAAAGGGCAAGCATGAGTCATATGCTCACCCTGGAGTGTGTGGGGGGGGGCATTGCTCAGTGCCATTGGAAGCCCACATACTAAGATGGAGGAGGTAGATGCTAGCTTGTAAAAAAAAATAATAAGGGGTATTAAAGGCAGAGTAGAATATACCTGAACCTCCTATGGATAATGTATTCCAAGTTATTTAAATCTCTTAAATCAAAGCCTGAACCAGACCAGAGGTACTAGGGTTTTCAGATTTTTAATTTTGTCTCCTAAATGCACCTGCCTATTCCATGCCTCTCTTCCTTACCCTTACCTTCTCTCTTTTAATCAGAAACTAGAACACAAAAGACCCCCCCTCCTCTACACAAAAGACACTTTAATGTAGTATCTTTAAAAGAAAAAAAAAAGCTTTAAGTGTACCATTTGTATAGATTCAGCTTATAGTAAGAAATCAGGAGATACAGGGTTCATTTAGGAATCGACTTGTTTTTCAGGCTCTTTGATGTAGAAATCTAATTGTTTCACTCACAATTTGGCATTAAAGGATCCCATAATTTGGCCCCATTAGTCATGCACTTTTATCCTGGTGTTGTATGGACTTCAGAGTCAGACAGAAATCCCAGATCACACATTTATTTTAATTTTTTTTTTTTTTTAATTTGAGAGAGAGTGTGCACGAGCATGAGGGGAGAGGGCCAGAGGAACAGGGAGAAGCAGACTCCTGCTGAACCCAACGCTGAGTCGGGAGCCCAGCGTGGGGCTCGATCCCATGACCCTTGAGATCCTGACCTGAGCCAAAGGCAGATGCTTAACCGACTGAGCCACCCAGATGCCCCTCCAGCTCACATTTAAAGAGCCGTAGACACTTGGTCCAATCGGTCATCTGTGTGTGCGTTAATTTCTTCGTTGGAAAATGTATCATCTGCTGCCAGGTGCTCTGCTAAATATTCTTTCTCTCATATATTTCCTATCTGTGTCTGTCTGCCTACTTACCCACCTACTTCTCTGTCTCCTCTATGCAAGGATGTGTAGACAACCCTGTGAAGGGTGGGTGACTCTTATTTTACACAAGAGGCAACAGGCTGAGGGAAAGGAGGAACCAGCTCACGTGGAGACGGTTGGTGTTGGCGGAGCTGGGATTTGAAACCAGGTCTGTCACATTCCCAAGTCTGCGCGCTCAGCTCTCTTACCAAACCGTCACGGTTCCCTGCCTCAGCAGAAGGAGCTGTACAGAGACTGAGATGGCGTGGGGCACGTGCGGAGCCCAGCGCAGGGCAGTGCTGGGGCTCGCGGGCGGGCAGGTGGGCAGACACCGGCAGCGCGGCTGGGGGACGCACGCGCACGCGGTTCTCCAGCGCACGTTGAGTCCTGTCAGCGCTCACAGCGTTGTGGACTTAGGCATGCGACTTACCTCTCTGGAGTCTCCATTTCTTCATTTGCAAAAGGGAGATGACAGTATCTGGATGGCAGAACTGTTGTGGAGGTTAAATGAGACCCCATGTGTAGATTCCATTCTCCCTTTCCACCCCCACCTCCCATCCCCATCTCTGCGCTCTGCGGGAGGCATCCACAGGCTGGGAAGGAGTTTGAGGGTATAGAAACTGTATTAAATCCTAGCTGCTTCATCTGCCAGTGTATGATGGTTCCATGGTCCACAGTCTCTCTGAGTTTTGTTTCTTTTATTTGTAAAGTGGATCTTCAAATACCTGCTCCATAGGGTAGGAAATATGAGATAATATATGTAATGTGCTCCCCACCTCCTTTCCTTACCTGTACTGCTTCTACCCCTTCTTTGAGGCCCATCTAAAGTTAAAAGAATCAAAATCAGAGCTCCACCTTCTCTGTGAGGCCTTTCTTTTCTTTCCTTTTTTTTTTCAAGGAGCTTTTTTCTTATTTTTTCCCCCAGGAGTTTTTTATTTTTAATTTTTTATTGTTATGTTAATCACCATACATTACATCATTAGTTTTTGATGTAGTGTTCCATGATTCATTGTTTGTGCATAACACCCAGTGCTCCACGCAGAATGTGCCCTCTTTAATACCCATCACCAGGCTAACCCATCCCCCCCTCCCCTCTAGAACCTTCCGTTTGTTTTTCAGAGTCCATCGTCTCTCATGGTTCGTCTCCCCCTCTGACTTACTCCCCTTCATTCTTCCCCTCCTGCTATCTTCTTCTTTTTTTTTCTTAACATATATTGCATTATTTGTTTCAGAAGTACAGATCTGTGATTCAACAGTCTTGCACAATTCACAGCGCTCACCATAGCACATACCCTCCCCAATGTCTATCACCCAGCCACCCCATCCCTCCCACCCCCCACCACTCCAGCAACTCCGTGAGGCCTTTCTTAATGCCTGCAGCCCTAGTCTACACCATTCTTGCAAATGCTTGTTGTATTTATCCCTGTACCAGCTCCTGTATCCATTAAATTTACCAAACACAATTCCAGAGACAAGGGAAGTGCTCCGTAAATAAAATAACAGTACTAGTTTTTTTTTTAAATCAAATAATAGAAATGTCAAAACAAGAATAGAATTTATTAGATAAGCTAAAACTTCAGGGATTTAAGTCTTCTTGGTAAAAGCTGCCTTGTAGGGGAAATATTATAGTGGGGGAAAATTCGTTTTTCCTTTTTTAAAGTTGGGAAACAATTTCCTGACAACTCTTGAAATAACCAGGAGTACCTGGGGAAGTGACTAAACCCAAATTAAGAATCTCGAATCCAGAGAAAGCATTGCACATATTCTGAGCCTGGATATTTTTAGTTCTGTTTGTGTAATAAACCCTACTAATGGATTTTTTTATATATAACTCTGTATTTCCTTTTTTATATTTTAGATGGAGCAGATTAAAAGGGCAAATAAACTGTTTACCAGTGACTGTATATTTCTGAAGAAAACTTTGAACATCCCAGTTATATCAGAGAAGGCTTTGTTGTTTAATGGACTTAACTCAATAGATTCTCCAGAAAATGAAACTGTTCGTAGCAGTTTTTCTCACGAAGAAGAGCCGGTAGCAGCTGGGGAAGACCTTTCTCCTCCCAGTCCTCAAGAATCCAATGTTCAGCCCATACCGCCTGAAGAAGTGTCAGCTAGAGATTTCCTGCAGAGACTAGACTTACAGATTAAGTTGTCAACGCAGGCAGCCAAGAAACTAAAAGAAGAGAGCAGGTAAAAATATGCTGGTAAAATGTCAGAAGCTGAATAAATTTATGATGTCCTTGCTTGGCTAAGGTTTTGTTGTGTTTTGTTTCTCTTCTTTGCTCTTCTCTGTCCTATTTTTTCCTTTTGCTTTAAAAACTATATTTTAATTCTAGAAAGTCATTTTCAATATATGAAGCCTAAAAAGAACTCCTGCATTCTGCATAGGGCTTTACCTGTTGTCTCTGTTATTTATTATAAAAAGTTGCTTCTTTGGTTCAGTAGCGTAACTGTCCAGCGAGCAATTCTGGATAGCAGCCAAGCAGAAACGTCTCGTTTATCCCGTCAGAGGAAGGACTGCCCTGGGGAATCCTTGTGATCCTAATGCTATTTGTCAAAGACGGTGTCCATTATTTGTTACTGGATGTTTTTCATGTGAGCTTTTTTCTTTGCTCTTTAATTTGGTTCTAGGGCAAATCTTTTTCTCTTCTACAGAATTGATTTTCTTTTTCCTTTATGAATCCAAGAATGGCACAAGCTATTGTGTTTCCTTTTTTGCCCTGGCTACCAGGAAGCTAGCAACTAAAACTGATGTTCAGTTCAACTACTACAGTATTTCTTATGGTTAATATATTCGTACAGTTCTCCTTTTCTTAGTCCTGATTTTTTATTTCTATCTAATTCATCTTATTATATGTATGCTTTTTGTTGTAGGCACATCAAGTCCTTTCGAGGAAAAGGTGGAATATAAAAAATAAAAACAAATATGAATATAATCATTTTATAATTCAGTGTTTTATTTAAATGTAATAGAAAAATGTAAATATATAAGAATATATATTCTTTTTTTTACAAGTACCCTTCTTTATTCCAATAATTGAGATGCCAATAAAATGCAGATAAGGTACACCCTAATGAGTATTTGCATTTCATATAACTTCCAGGGCATGCAAAATATTATAAATTGATACTCCTGCCCTTCTTTGGCAAGTGGATATTAAGGTATATAATAAGTGTACATATTAGTTTTCTGAATAGTGCTTTTAAACACTGATTTATGCTGAATTTCTTTTTTTCAGAGATGAAGAAAGCCCCTGTGCAACTTCCCTCTATCACAGTTAGATGATCAGGGGTGATAATCTAACCTGGATTAAGAGATGGTTGAATCATAAAGAAACCAACAACTGAAGATTCAAAAGCATACATCGTTAAATCACAATTTAGTAGTTCTACCTACTGCAATTGCACTGAAGTGATTATTTCCCTCTGGCTTTCTATAATTTTAAGTTTTTATTATGGCATGAGAGCAAAATTGTATCCTAAAGCTCATCACTTTTGTAGGTGATGGTAGTTTTTAGACTAGTTTTGTAAATACTAGTTAACATAAAGCATCAAAGACTATATACATATTCAAGCTGAAAATGATGTTGACCTGAGAAATCTTAATTATGTGAAATACATGGTTGCTGTTTAAGTGATACTGATTTTGCTATGTGTTTATAACTTAAGTGCTATATATATATTTCGATATGTATTACATATTCTGTATTAATATAAAGAACCAAATTTTGTCTGCTATTTTGTAAAAATAAACTACAAAAGCCTGAGTGAGAAAATAAACTATGTTTTCATATTTGAGTCTTCAATTTTTTCAACAAATGGAAAAATAAAGCTGATTTTTAAAATTATTTTTTAAATGGTGACAGCTTCTCCTCCATTTTAATTGCTTTTATTATTATAATTAGAATTTTAAAAAAGTTTCAATAATCTAAAAGCAAATCATTATGGGTATTAGTAACCTTTGCATTTTCATAATATTTGACCTGATATGTTTGAGATATGGTATAAACACAGAATATGATCAGAAGGAGAAATTATGACACATTGGTGAATTCTAGTTTAGATTTCATTAAGTCACTTTATAAAGAGCGTTTCGTAGGCACTGTGCTCATTTGAATTGAGGGTTAAGTTTTTATTTACATAATTTGTCTTTTTTCATATGTACAGGTTACAGCCATAAATCTTAAGCAAAATATTATTTACAGTTAAACTTTTTTTGGTCTCAGTTTTTATTCAAGTACCAGGTTAAAGAAATCTTTAAGCTTCCACAAAAATTCCCCATATTTATCCCTCGCCTACATCCCCAAGGAATCTGCTTTCTGTGGGGCAAACAGGACTCTCCCCTCATTTTCTCTTCCCCATCTCCCTCCTTCAGGTCTTCCATTAAGCAGGAAACAGGTGCCCTTAGACATCAATGCAGCAGAGCTTATAGAATCAGAACTGCACATCTCCAGCCCTTGAGAGTGACCAACAGGTGCATGCATGGGAAACACTAGTCATCTGCTCTTGTCTTGAATTTCTTATTTATTCATAACATACATACTCCCTGATGTTTTGGTTTTTTTCTCATGCTGTTACCGTCTTTGATATAGGGTGGTTTCTTGATCATGTTTTGCTGCTACCTGGCTAAGGGGAGTTAGTTGGAAGAGGAGAAAACAAAAAAGGAAGGGAAACCATTGTGTATATAAGACAAGGTCTGGGCCTCTCTGGAGGCACAGGAACTTTCAAAAAATGTAAAGTTATCACGCTGTTTAACGTAACATCATCTGAAATTTGAGAGTAATCCAAAAATGCTATCCAAAAGATGTAATATAAGCAGAAATGTAAAATTCAGACCACAATCTTAAAAATATTCTTCTGAGTATTTCTTTGTTGCCTAAGGTCTACTCTTAGCACTTTCTGGCCAAGACATCTCTGTCCTTCACGTTATTAAAAACTCTGGATTTGCTGTGGCCACAGTTGAACTGTCTTGGACCAGAGTACTTTAGTACTGCCTCGGAGGAGTGGACTGCACCACAAGAAACTGGGTTCGAGGCCCACTTTTAACCACTTCTTGGCCATCAGAGTTTGAGCACCAGTTTCCTCATTTCTAAAACAGGGCCGATGATCTCCCTTTTCTTTTTTCTTGGCTACTGCTGGGAGCTAATGAATATCTGTGTGTCAGAAAACTACAATAAACTCCCTAAATAAATGTCTTACTTAAAAATAGACTGCATAGGTATCTAGATAGATTATAGAAAAGTGAATGGATAAAATGCTTTAATTGCAGCCAGAACTTTTTTCCCCCTGATGTACAAGCAGCCTGTTTGGACTGTAGGACATGGGTGAAGGGGTAGGTCATGTTATCAAAGATGACATTAAAATGATCTGACTCACTGTGTTTGGCAAGGATAATTTGGGCATAGGTGTTTTTAGTTCCCACTTACTGCTCCCAGGGAGTACTGGCTTTTCTAGAACAAACTGAGTTTAGTTTGTATGGGTGTCAGGCTTTGGGTTTTGTTTATTTTTACAACTCTAGAGAGGATGGGGAGGAGCAGCAGTGGTTTCCTCCTCGTGAAAAATAACCTCTTAACATTGTCCCTCTACATTCCCCAGCCCTCACCAAAAAGTAGATACCAAGTAGGAGCATTCAAGACAAGTATCAGAAGGCCGTTTGAAGTCATGACAGCTAATACACAAAGCATTATATTATTTTTTAAGATTTCAAGCTGAAATAGATAGAAAAATATGTTATCACTTTATGCTGAATAATGCATTTTCAAAGCATTCTTCGGTTTGGGAGCATTGCCCATTACCATTTCAGGAGGACCTTGGGCCACTGTGTGTTGCTTCCAGGGCTGTGTTTGCAAGGGCAGCTGAGGAAGGGGAGTTGCAGGGACCCTAAGTTCATTAACCTTTTCTTCCAGGAAAGCTTGTTTACCAGCTTTGGTCCACAAAGAAGGGAATGACTTTTATCTATTTCTGTACTACTGCCTGGCCCTCTTGCTCTCTGTTGAGAATACCTTGGCCGGGATTAAATTCAGTTTAGATAACTCAGGTCTGGCAGACATTTTTACTTTGCTTCTGTAGTGTTTATGACCTCATTTTTCTCCTTGGAGAGCACACAGTTATTCCTACTAATAAACAAACGCAATGTCTGGAAATGTCAAATGTCGGGAGAAATTGTTGATGAATCCAGCAAATCCTATGCTTATCTTTCAGGTTCCTTTTTGCACCACTGGGCCTGATAAAGAGCCAGCAGGAACAGCCAAAAAAGCAGAGAGTTATCCTTTAAGCTAGAGAGGCTTTGAGGAAATGTTAATTTATTTTAACTCCCCAAAGGGAACTGGTAGTGGAAACAACATCTTGTAACAGACATATTCTATGAGGTGCTTTGGTACCCAGCATGCCTTGAAAACAGAACCCCCTAATTCTTCAGGCGGGTGTCTGTGGGTGTGACACAGCAGGAAGAAGCTTCAATTTTAAGTTCTATCCATGACAGGCTTTCCAAAGCAACATATCTCTGATTATAAAATGTAAATCTAAAAGGAAATAAGGATTCTATATACAAAATCGCAGCTTACATACAACTTTACTTTTCAGACAGTTTTTATGGCAAGAAAGCTATGTTTAACCACTTCCAAAAGGTTAACTACTGCAATTTCATCACTTTCTAATAATCCTTGGGTCAAATAACTTTAATGACAGAATTAGAAGTGTTTTAAGCTATGTTTACTGAAACAGTCTAAAGACTCCTGGATCTTCTGCCATTTTTACAGACTGCTGTAGATACGCTTGATGGCATCAGCTTCTTCTTTATCAAGGATGCCTTTCTCCACATAAGCATCTGCTTGTTGGTTGATGAAGTCCCTCATCTTTGAAAGGTCATAATCTAGAAAAGATCGTTAGCGTATCATGAGCAACAATCAGGAAAGAGACATCCCATTATAGTGACAACCATTAACTAAGAAGCTTTTAATGCAACAACACAACTACCATTCCATCCCCGTTTTTCACATTGGAAAACATATTAGATCTTGGCATTTGTTCAGTCTTTAGAGTTTAAAATCATGTTTATGTGTGTGATATTATCTCATTTGCTGTCCATCATCACCCCTGCAAGGTGTTCAAGTGGGAAGTACCACCCTCATTTGACCGTGGAAGGAACAGGCTCATAGACCAGGGCTTTGCAAACTTAATGTTTATACCAATCACCCAGGGCTCTTGCAGGTTTGTTTTCAGGAGGTCTGAGGTGGAGCTCCAGATTCGGCATGTTAAATAAGTTTCCAGGAGATGTTGATTCTGCTGGTCCGGGAACCACATTAGGATAACAAGATCCTAAAGCTTAAGTACCTTGTTCAGGATCATATGGGTAGTAAGAGTTACAAACAGAGCCAGGTGTTTTGGTTTTCTGCAATTGTTATACAGGTTAAGTCACTGTTGATGTGACAACCCACTATTTTTTTTCCAAATTAAGAATTACCATGATTTTTTATAGTATCAGAATTATATGCATGTAGCAAAAAAAAATTATATTCATGGAGCTTTTTTTTTTAGAGAAACCTCTTTATGGCTCTTCTGTCCTACTTAAACAAAAAACCTGTGTAAACCATTAAACCACCCATCAAAAACAAAGAGATCCCCAAGTAAGGACGCTGCCTGTGGCATTTTTCTGAAGGCTTAAAGAAAACCCACATCCTCCCTTGAGGCTTATTTTTTAAAAAATGGAAAATACAGAAACATGGAAATAAAATTTAAATCACCTGAATTCTAGTAATCATAAATAACCACAGTTGGGTTTTTTTCGCTTTTCCAAATATATGTGTCTCAACCCAGGATTGAGATCACAGTATATATACAACCTTATTAACAAGCTCCTTTCACTTTACCCAGCGAGCATCAATATTCTTCAGAAACACCGCTTTTAATGGCCACGTACAATGCATCCTACGGTGATACCAAAATTTATGACTCACATCTCTCAGGGTGGGACATGTGGGTCTTCTACACCCCAGCATTATTGGGGAGATTCCCCCCCTCCCGGTTTTGAGTTGCCTGAGGCTGAGTTCCTTGAGGACAGTGCCGTTCACCTTGGCTGTAGCAGCCCCTGGAACAGAGCCTTGCCTTCTGTCAGTTTGCAAAGGAGACAAAAAGGGAGAGAGTGGGGAGCAAAAGCTCAGAGCACCCGTGGAAGGAAAACTATAAAGAACATTATGGCTCAGTTGGTTAAGCGGCTGCCTTCGGCTCAGGTCATGATCCTGGAGTCCCAGGATCGAGTCCCGCATCGGGCGCCCTGCTCAGCGGGGAGTCCGCTTCTCCCTCTGACCCTCCCCTCCCCCCTCTCATGCTCTCTCTATCTCATTCTCTCTCTCAAACAAATAAATAAATAAAATCTTAAAAAAAAAAAGAACATTGCTGTAGGCGCCAGGTGTTTATCGTATCAAGTGAGACGAGGCTTAGAGAAAACCCGTTTCCTCTCCACGAAGAAAGGCATTTGTTCTCATTAGGGCTTGGCCATGAAGATTAAAGAGACAACTGTCATCTGACGTGCTCCTTGCGGAACTCCATGAGGTAAGCATTAGTAACCCCATCTCAGACACGAAGAAACAGGACAGAGGTAAGTCACTCGCTTGGGTAACGGCAGAGTCACGTTCTGAACGCTGGTCTGTCTGTAGTCTCTGCTTTGGCCATCTACGGCCTTGAAGTAGGGAACATGAAGCAACTAAGAGGTGTAGAACCAATATTCAGTAAGCGCTTGGGGTTTTTGTTATTATTGTTCCCTTTCACTTTCCCTTACCGTCAGGACGAAACAGAATCGTGCTGAACATACATTTTGCGCGCACCTCACCAGCAGATTCCTGACTGACTCGGAGGGCACAAAGAGGCGCCTCTTGATCGCTGGTTCAGATTAATACTGGCTCTCCCAAGCTAGTTGCAGGGTCAACGTCTTTAGTGGGACAAAAGGCAGCCCAAAGGCAGATGTGAAGAGGTCCAGGTGATTTGAACGGACACACAGGAAAATATTTTGCTTTTTTTTGAAATGGAAAAACTGTATCATTAAGACATAGCTGTCACAGTGTGCCCTGGGAAAATGAGCATGGTGCAGAAGAATGGCCATTGGCTGCCTGTTAGATCACACAAGTCAGGAGCCACCTTCCTAACCTTAAGAAGGTTTTAAGGTTGTTACGCTCAAAGGGGAAAAGGGCTGTGATTCACTTTTCAAAAAGAACACTTTATTTTTAAGGGTGCGTAAAGTTTTTTCCTCCTCCTCAGTATCACATCACATGGACCTCCCTTTTCTGGAAGTGGAAAATTAAATTGCAGGATGTGGTTGGTTATGACCAGGAGTCTGATTCATATTAATCAGGAAAAGAAAGAACGTAAGTACTCCAAATTGTTGGACCATAAAATTGACATTGGTTTCAGAATGCATTCTGGTGCCTACTGTATTACATTGATTCTAAGATCATTTTTTTTTATTTTAAAGTCTTCACAGTCACTGATGGCACGTTATAATTTTTCTTCCTTAGTGGTGTATGAAACAATGATGCCTTTTTCAATCAATGAGAGATTTGATGAAATATGGTTCATGTGAATTTGAATGGAAATGACAGCCTGGAAATTCACATCATTTTGAACCAAATAAAAAAATGTGTGTGAAAAGCTGATAATTGTTTCCATCTCACTCAATTTAACAAGATCACAGGTTAAAGAGGGGCTAAAAATACCTCTTTCTCCCATTGTGCTCTCAGTGATTCTCAAACTTGGCTACACAGTGGAATCATGGGAGAGGTGGGTTAAAATACTGATGCCTGTGTCATTCCTCTGGAGTGTCTGATTTAGCGGTCCTGAGGAGCTCCACAGGTGATCTGAATGCACGTTCAAGTTTGAAAACACCACTCATCACATTTTAAAAGCATCACTTGGCAACTGCTCAGCCAGACACCTGGGAGTCATAGTGGACTCCTCTGTCTCCACGTTGCTCTCAAGCTTCCTCTTTCTTTACTTCCTCTGCCTTGCCTTGGTTTGAGCCCCAGCATTTCTGCTCCAGATCCTTGCCTCCTATCTCTGTCCAATCCTCTGGGGTCTTATTTCTCCCATCTGTAACCACACTGCTGCCAGATCGATTTCTCAGTTCCTAACCTAATTAAGCCCTAATTTAGGCTCTTCTGGCTAAATCTTACCTCCTTTGCAGGGTGCACAAGCTCCTTCCTGATCTGACGGCTACCCACCTCCCCTCAGACACCCAGTGTTCCTGGGAAACCGAGTGGCTCCAGTTCCCAGGACGCATGACTCTCTTTTGTCCCTTTATGTCTTGGCACCCAGTGTTCCCCTGCCCCCATCTCTCGTCACTTAGCTTTCCAGCAAAGGCTTTCTTGCAGACCTTTCTCCCAGTGCTACCCCTCCCTGTAAACAGATGGGCTCCCCACCTTTGGACCACTTCACCTGTCTGTGATAGCACTAAGCAGGGCCAACTGTAGCTTGAGTGATGCTAGGAGCTCCTTGGGGGGGCCAGGGAGGGCAGGGGGAGGCTGCAGCTTCCGTTTTCACATCTATGGTACTCAGAACAGAATAGTCTTGTTCTATGTTTTAAGTGAGTGACAGCTTTTGTGACTGCAGGGTACATCTAATATGTGGTCAAAAATGCCTTTGTTTAAAATACTCCAAGGAGAGGCGCCTGGGTGGCTCAGTCAGTTAAGTGTTTGACTCTTGATTTCAGCTCAGGTCATGATCTCAGAGTCATGAAATCAAGCTCCGTGTTGGGCTCCACGCTGGGTGTGGAGTCTGCTTAGGATTCTCTCTCTCTCCCTCTCTTTCTGCCCCTCCCTTGCCACCCCACCCTCTCAAAAAAATAAGTAAAAATTTAAAAATTTTTTAAAAATTCTCCAAGGAAAGGGCAAAATGTTGATAATTATTGGAGGTGGTCGATGGATACATGGGGATTCATTGTACGATTCTCTCTACTTTTGTTTGACATTTTTCATAATAAAATGTCAAAGGAAAGGCCTTTGCTTGAGAGGCTGCTTTGAAAAATAAGAGAAATGGAGATTCTATTTCTGCATCGGCATTCCTTCGTCCTGGAGCCTTTTTACACAAGTTTGATTGTGAGAAACATCATTTAACAAGAACCCTGACAAATGGGTGAAACTGGCAATTTACAACCATACTAAATCCTTACCTTCTTTATTTCCTTTTTTGTTGTGTTTCTTCAACCATTCAATATTTTTTCTGATGGCTTCCAAATAGGCTTCTGTTTTTCCTGGAAAAGGGAAGAGAACCCATATCAAACACTCATAAAATATCACCGCATTTCTTTTTAAAGACCACACTCTTGTTTAGAACCATAAACACTGGACTCGCCGAGCACTTGTGAGGTGGTGTCTCTAATGAAATAGTGTGCATATTTGTGTGCATGGTGTGCGTGGGGGTGTTGAGGAGAATGGGTAGGGATAAGATTCCAAGAGACAGGACCAGGCTAGTGTCAAGGAGTCATTACACACACACACACACACACACACACACACACACACACACACACACAACTGCAGTCTGTTGTCCTGGCAGAGAAGAGTTTTGATTCACTTTACTGGATAGCTGGGTGCCTTCACTTCTTAGACTGCATCCTTTCTGTTTAGGAATGGTTCTTCCAAACTGAGGAGTATTTTCAGGTCAAGAACTAAATCGGAATGGCAGATACTGAAAAGACTCCATCACCAAATAAATGATGTTAAGTATGTCCAAATGTGTGGCTTTGTTAGGCTGCTATATAAGTCTTCTGCCCAATCTGGTAGGGAGTGTGTAAAAACTCAGATGAAGAGGTGACCCGGGCCTCATTTCAAGGTTTGGATGTGAACCTCAGGACTCATTCTAGTAAAGTTCCTCCAGATATAAACATTCTCCCATGGGCCTCAGGTGTGGTGAAAGGAAACTAGGCATCACTGAAGCACCTGCTCCGTGAAACCCTTTATATATATTATAGTCTGCAAGTGGGTATTAACACCCACTTAGAGATGAGAAAACTAAGGCTCAGAGAGGCTAAGTGACTTGGCAGAGACCCCATAGAAAATAACTGAAGTAGAATTTAGACTCTGGTCTTACCAAGTTTCTGCTGCCTATACTACCTGAAAGAGAAGATCTTTCTTCAGACATGGACACTGATGTAGCCTTGCACTGTCTCGAAGAAATCAACCACACCTGAAATCAGATGAAGCCCCTAGTGCTCAGAGTGTCTGCTCCAATGGACCAGGTGGTCTGGAGGATTCTGGATGGCCTGAGAAAAGAAGGCTTCCAAGTCCAGGGGCTCTGCAAGAAGTAATGGTTGCCAAAGCTCAATGGTGACCACTCATTCTGAGCCCCTGTTGAGCCCTGTTACCTCTAGTGTACTGCCCAGACTTATTGGTTGAGTTATCTGTACTGTGCGCTTAGGATATGCCAAGGGCTGCGCTTTTTGCTCCAAAATGCACTATCTCTTTTACTATTCACAACAACCTCTTCAGGTGCTCCCATTTCATCCCCATTTTACAGATGAAGAAACCGAGGCATAGAGAGACAAAGTAACATGCTGAAGATCATGTAGCTAGTAAGTTGTGGAGCCAGGCTTGAACCCCGGTGCTTCTGACTACAGTCCATGAACGATAACACTGCCCTAGGATCTGCTGATGCTCCAGTTTCCACTACTGCATTTACCTAAGTGACCTCCTGAGCATCTTTCTTCCTGATCTTTAAGCCCAAACTCTTGCCTCACCACTGGGGCTCCATGTTATCTGGACTGCAAAGAAGCACAGAGAAGCTCCCTGCAAAAGGGGTGAGTGGACAAGAGAAGAGATCCACAATTTTCAGCCGCAATTCGCTACGATCACCTGTGTAGAAAAAGTCTTTGTTTCAGTGCTGTTTTTAAAAATGTTGGGGCATATGAAAGATCAAGTTCTCCTGGTTGACTTTATAACATATTACAGTACAATGAACATAGTGATATTCATTGTTGCCTGTTTGTTGAGAAGGTCAGTTGGATTTGGTGACATAAAATTGGTGTTCTCTATTTCAGATAAACTCAAAAGGCATTTTGAACAAAGAAAGAAATCTTAGTGTGGACTATTTCTGAAGAATGCAGCCTCTTTGTTTTTAAAGAGTTTAAATCAAATTAGTGGGCCTGATAAGGCTTTAACAAATAAAGAATTTGTCATCAGTCCATTAAGTAATTAGGACTTCGGAAACTTTTAAGAATGTTTGAAAATGGTCTTGCTCTTTAAATCATGTTAACCATTCATCCCACAATCTCATTTATAATATACCATGATGTGGAAAGCTTATTCAAGAAAAAGGAAACCTGAACTTAGTCTCTGTGTAAATACTATGTTAAAAATTCTGAATTAGGAGGGGTGCCTGGGGGGCTCAGTCGGTTAAGCATCCGACTCTTGGTTTTAGCTCAGGTCATGATGTCAGGGTCGTGAGACGGAGCCTCGTGTTGGGCTCTGCGCTTGGCAGGGAGTCTGCTTGTCTGCTTGAGATTCCTTCCCCCTCCCACTCTCTCCCTCTCACGTGCTCTCTGTCTTCCTCTAAAAATAAAATAAATAAATAAAATCTTTAAGAAAAGCATGTACTTATTTTTGAAAAAAAATCTGAATTAGGAGAGTAAAGAGTAAATAAGGGCTTTTTGCCATAGTGTAGCAGAAACTGTTGCTTCCTCATCATCATGCCTCCCTTATTCCAGATATGCTAATAGAGGGGGCCCTCACCTAACGATGGACAGAACTGGTAGGTAAATCCCCAGTTTCCTTTTGTTTCAGGAACATTCCACATAGCCTCCCAGAGATCCTCAGTGGGACTGAGCCCCAGTTACCCGCAACTGAAGCGATCTTGCGAACCCACCTTATACGGGCTTCTTTCCTCTCCCTATCTCATGTACCTATCCCCCACCCAGTGGTATTTCCTGGGGTCATCACCCCCATTAAACTTGACCTCAAATCCTTCTCTCAGGGTCTGCTTCAGAAGGAACCCAACCTACGGCAACTTGAAATAGAGGACTTGGCATCATTTTGTTAGATGCTTTTTGCTTAGGAACAAATTTCCTATAAAAATGTTAAATATTAAAAAGTATATTCACTATATTGATATTGCCAACCCATAACAGAGAATGAGTTTACTGCAGCTTAAAGGAATCTACACTGCAATCCATTAAAAAACTAAATTACTATCTTGTGGATCATAACAACATCTGATTAGGACAGTTTCTCTAGTTTATTCATTATTTTTAAAGATTTATTTATTTGAGAGAGAGAGAGAGTAAGTGAGGGCGGGGGAAGGGGCAGAGGGAGATGGGAGAGAGAGTGACTTCCCAAGCAGACTCTGCGATGAGTGTGGAGCCCAGCGCGGGGCTCGATCCCATAATCCCGAGATCCTGACCTGAGCCCAAACCAAGAATCAGACGCTCAACTGACTATGCCACCCAGGTGTCCCGATAGTTTCTCTAATTTAAAATAGACCACCCCCATAACCCTCATCCCTCTCTTCTGCTTTCTTTTTATGCATAACACTTATCACTTTCTACCAAATCATATAATTTATGTAAGTTTATTTTTTGTCTTCCTCCCTTAGGAATAGTTTTTTTTGCTGATAAACCCTGACACATAGTAGTCTATCAATAAATATTTGTCAGATAAGTGAATGGATAAAGTCTTCTTAGATGCCAAATTGTAATCAGAAGAATATAATTTTTTTAAAGTATAAATGGTATAGATTTCTTTTTTTAACAAAAAATGAATTTTCAATTTGAAAGACTTGAAGTTTAATGAATTCTGAATTGAAATGATAGTTATAGCAGAAACAGTTTAAAATACCTACAAATGTGCTAGACATCCTATATCCATATGTCATTTAATCTTCACAGAGCTCTATGAAATCAGCATTATCATTCCCGTTTTACTCATGAGGGAACTAATGCTCAGAGAGGTTAAGTGACATGCCCAAGGGGACACAGCTGAGGAAGGGTGAGAGCCTGGTCATTCAGAGCCCGAATGAATCCGGAGCCTCTACTCTTTTTAGACTAGAACAATTTAGTGCCTGTTGTTGTTGTTACCAAACTAGCCAACAAAGCAGTGGTTCTCAAACCTGGCTGCATACTGGAATTAACAAGATGATGCCAGTCCTCTATTTCAAATTAAAAAATCCTGATGCCAAGGTTACTCCTAATACCAATTAAATGAGACTATCCGGGGGTAGGGGCCAAGCATCATTTAAAAAAAAAAAAATGGTCCTGAGGTGATTCCCATGTGGGGCTAAGTTTGGGAACGACTGCCACCAGCATTGAGACCTCCACACATTTACTGGAGCACTGGTGACAAGGTGAATAAAATCAGGTGTCCCTCTGCTCTTGAAGAGGAGCAGCTGGTTCCTATTTACATTTTCTCTTCTGGGGAGCTGTAAAGCAAATCTTTTATTTACACCATGTGCAGTAAAAGCCCATGAGAGTCCACTTTGGAAAGCTGGACTATTTTTTTTCAAATTTATTTCAGTTTTCTTTGGAAAAAAATAGCTCATGGCTGAGGTAATATGGCACAATCTTTAAACCATATGCTGAAGCAGATGGGAAGAGGGCCAGAATCAAGACGCAGCCCTGCTTTTCTGACTGTTCTGGTTTTCAGCACTGCAAAAGAAATACGCCTTTTTGTACGTGAATTTGTCCTCACTGTGACATATGCTAACCTGATCTGTCCCCCACCCAGCCCCATAGAAACAACAACAACAAACCTGTAGAAATCAATAGAATTAACCTATTGAATACGGACATACTAAAGATATTAGATCTTAAGAGTGTTTATAAAAATTAAGTTTGACACCCTTAAAACTCTGTGAAGATGACATGATTACAGTTTTGAACGGCATAAAACAAAGTCAGTGATGATGGTATCACTGATGCCAACATGGGCCTCAGAGCCATTCAGTTCGAGAATTTCTGTACAATGCTGACACTTTATCTGCCCAAAAGAAACACTCCGAGGAATACTGGATGGGAGTCAAGGGACAAGTGTTCAAGGCCTGGCTCTGCCATTCTGGCTAGGAGATCTTGGGTGAGTCACTTCATTTTCTGAGCCTTGGTTTATTTATTTATAATTTAGGGATGAATTCTAAGAAGGAGATTTATGGTTTCTGCATATGGAAAGACCTTTGCTCTCCTCAAAAAACCTGTGTTGATGGGAGGTCTCCTATACCTGCGCTTAGCTCCTGGCATACTTGCTGACTCATGGAGAGAAAACTGGACTT